GGATGAGGTTGTGTTTATGACGGTGGTACATATTTTGCATTCGTTTCTGCTTCAGCAACCCGTCAGTCACCCCCGCCCTGTTCTAGACTGACACTAGTTACCTTCGTGAATGTGCCTACTTGACCCTATTCTAGTGGTGGGGAAAATTCGGATAACTGAATAATTTTCAGTGAAACATTATCCGAACGCAGACTCTTAAACTCTCTTTCCTGACCCGTTTGCCGAAGTGGGTGCACCCATTTGTTGAAATGGTTCTTACCCATTTGCCGAAGCGGTTCGTAACACATTTAATCGCCGAAGAGGTGCACTTATATATTATTCGGATATTGCTAAAGCGACTCATTGCCCAGCCTTACCCTATTCACAGCTGCTACAGTCCCACGGTAGATGTGATAGAATGAACTATGTCATTACTGAGCCCGACATCTAAACTAAACTTTTTTAAAAATGAGTCAGAATGACGGGTAGTTGGTGGGTGACCTAGTGTGGTTTGCAGCAGTTTGCTCCTTTTTTTCCTATCAAATATTATATTATTCGTCCCTTTTATTTTTATCTCTACTCCTTTTTTGTGCTTGTTACTCTCTTGTAACACCTCTTACCTTCGGCTCCTATAGATATGGCCTTATTGCGTTGCAAGTGCCGAAAAACTCTTTCTGCGCGAGACTTACTAAAGCCAAACTAAAAACAGAGTCAAAAAGTGGGTGTTTGGCGGGTGCTCTGGTGTGGTTTGCTTCTTCTTTCCTATTGAACATCTGCTATCGTCCTTATCTCCCCTTCTTCTTTTTTGTGCTTGTTACTCTCTTGTAACACATCTAACCTTCGGCTCCTGTAGATATGGCCTTATTGTGTCGCAAGTTGCTGAAAAATTCTTACTGAGACTTACTAAAGCTAAACTAAAAACAGTCAGAAAGATTGTTCCAGCGTTTGGAGTTGTTTGTTATGATGTAACGTTCAGGGGACTCTGTGTACTGCCACGCAAATTGCCACTGCCACGAAAATTGCCACTGCCACATTGTGAAAAATGCACTAGTTTTGTGTGTGTGAATGTGTGTGTGGGGGGGGGGGGGAGTGGCAGAATCAGTCTGATTATCCAATTTTTTTGTCTTTGACATTTACATTTCTGCACTGCTGTGTCAGGGAATGTACCCGCAAGTTGGTGAGAAATGAGCCTCTCTCTCCGTCTTTCTCTCTCTCTCACCCTCTCTCTCTTTCTCTCTCTCTCTCTCTCTCTCTCTCTCTCTCTCTCTATCTATCTATCTCTATCTCTCTCTCTCTTTCCGGTTCGTTGATCTTACTCCTCTGACCACTATAAAGCCCTCTGCTCCTCTTCAAATCAGCGAATGGTCACTACCATTAACCGCCAAACAGAGGGAAGACG